CAGGCGGGGATGGTCCCCGTTACTATGCAATAAACCTCGATCATATTGTGGCCTCGCCACGCGGCACTAAGGAGCAAAACATGGAGGCAGAAGGTTGGGACGGCGCACTGAATGGAGGGGTGGGGGTGCACTACTATAGCGAGGCGAGCAGCATAGAAGTGGCGGAAGGTATCGTGGGGAAACGGGTTGGAGGGGAACGTGATGGGGGTGGTGAGCTCGCGAAGGGTTAGGTAGTCAAGAGGACGACGAGAGAGTAATCGGGGACGAAGGCCCATCGCCTGTATCGGTACGTCGGCGAACGGGGGGACGGGTTGGGGAGGAGGGGGATCGGCTCCGTCGCCGCGTTGATGGGGTCGGAGTCGTGGCCGTGAGGTCGCCATGTTCTGATCGGGGCGGCTCCGGATCTTGGTTTGGGTCGTCGTGGACGTGCAAGCTTGCCCCGCTCGCAAACTCTAGTTCCCTCTTCCCGGGCGCGGTTTCTTCTCTTTTGCGGGCCGCCTCCGGATCTTCAGCCTCCGTGCCCGTGCGCAGCGCTTCTTCCGGCACAGCTTCCCACTCCGATTCCGCAGGTCCTTCTTCGTTCTCCTCTTCTCCTTCGTCGTCTTCTCCTTCTTCTTCGCTCTGCTCCCCCTCGCTATGCTCGCTATAGCTTCCTTCTTCGGGGGTTTCGTCCTCTTCCCCGAGTACTTCGTCGCTTTCCCCACTTTCTTCCCGCTCGTCTTCTCCTTCGTCACTCTCAGTGCTCTCTTCCTCCTCTTCTTCCTCTCGAATGGCAGCAAGCTGCTCTGCCGTTGGATGCCTGAAGAAGGCAGGATCACAAACCGTCCGGGGATCCAAATACTGCTGCTGTGACGGCGGGATGCGCTCTGCGGCTCCCTCCACACAAGCCGACCACTGGAGATACGGTGTCAACGTGCGAGAAAGCACATGAGGAATCGGGTGCTCGTTGTCTTGCGAAATGATGTCGAGAGGGAGATCGTCCGCCAGCTGCGCTACCGGGATCGCGAGCTCTTGCGCGATGAGTTCCTGATGTCCGGGCCGTATTGTACCGAACAGAAACGCGAGGAGTTCTCCCTCCATGTTGGTTCGCCAAGCCTAGATGAACAGCAACTCCAGGCGCTCTATGCAAGGCGGGCGTGCCTCGTCCTCGGTCCACGTCAGTCGTACCTCGACCAAGCACAGTGAAAGCTCGACGAAGTCTTCGCGCCACAGTTCCCAGTGTGGGGGATGAATGTCGGGGACAGCAAGGGTCGTTAGACAGTAGGAAAGGCGAGGATGGATATCGGACTGCCAGAAGGTGGGGATGGTGGAGGGAAGATAAAAAACGGAGATCGGAGAGAGACTCATTGGGGGCGAGGGAAGGGAACAACAACGGGGAGAACCGCTGGCAGATCACGCTGGTACATCCGAAGGCCGTCGTATTCCATCGCTCGTGTCGGCGCGACCGTGTCCCCGGGGCGAGCCAGAAGCTGGGTCCACTCGGCGACCAGATCGTTTGCCCACGCGCGCAGCGATGTCCTCACCGCCGAATGTCGTAAAGGGAGGAGCGTGGAGAGATCGCCACGGAAGTTGATGACGACCGATATGCGGCTGACACCTGGCACCGCTCGCTGATGAACTGCTACTGCCTCGGCCAGTACCACTGCGTTGGGCCGGCCCTCGATTCTGAACACCGCTGCTGCATACACGCCTTCTGTGCAAAAAAAGTGCGGAAGCCGCCGAAGATCTGGACTGAGATGGGGATGATAGACTTGCCGGATCATCAACCGATCACGGGGTGCAAGCGATGCTTCGCTGAGGGCTCTTTCCTCCAGAAAACTCATGGCGATGGTGATGGAGACGTAGAGGCAGAGAGGGAGCAAGAGGAAGAGGGGGATGGCGGAGAGTCAGAGCCGTTGTCTTCGGCTTCCTCAGAAGGAGAGATCAAGGGAGTAGGAGACGGAGCAGAGGGGAGGAGGCGAAGATAGGACATATGGCGTGTGATCGGGCGGGCCGATCGGCTGCCAGAGGCTTCCGGGGCGAGACGCACAGTGTCTACGCCGTTGGGGCCGAGCTCGATCACGCGATATCGCCCGAAGAATCGTGGCGCTAGCTTACCCTGGCGAGCACATTTCCTCACCTGCACCACATCCCCCAATTTGTACTGGGGCCGTGGACCCGCATTCCCATTTCGGGCCTCGTAGCTCCGGATCTGTCGGCCTTGGGCTAGTTCGGTCATTTTCTGTCATTTTCGGGCTAGCTTGGGCAGTGACCGTTCCATTAGCTCTAGGTGCCGTTTGGCCTTGTCCCTAGCCGTGGCCCTGGTGGGACGTCGGTTCACTGTAGACTCGTCCGGGAGGCTTGGTATTGAAACGCAAGCGACGCTATTGGTCCTTAATTGGAAAGGGCTCAGCCCCGTCGATTCGTGGGGTGTTCCGCGATGGACCGCCAGGATGTGATCGACGATATCGGACCAGGGTCTCGGATCCCGTGCCGCGATTTTACGTCGCAACGCTGTCTTTATCACCCGGTTAGCGTTTTCGACCAGTCCATTGGATTGAGATATATGGGGTGCAGTGTTACGTATGGCGACGCCATGTAGGACCAGATTCCTTAGTACTTCTCCCCTAAATTCAGCTCGTTGTCGGTCAAGATTTCTTCCGTATCCTGATGCATCCCGAGGAAACGGTTGACATACCGCGCGATTTCCGTGGCTTGCCACGTGCGACAAGGATACGCTTCGATCCATTTCGAGAAATGGTCGACAAATACCAATAGGATTGAATATTCGCAGCTTTTAGGGCCAGGGGGCACCACTATGTCGGTAGTGTCCATGCTCACTCTTTGAAATGACCGTTCAACAACCGTGGGCACTATCGATCTTGGCGGCTGAATCGGCGCCTTGTCAGCGGCGCAGACTTGACAGTTGGCGACAATGTATTTCACATCGTCGCGGATATTGGACCAATACCACTCATTTTTGTCGATAGTGAACTCCGTGATTCGTACGGCAAAACGAGCCGCAGTTTCCTCGTGGGCTGTCTTAACCCAGTCGTACCGCATGAACGGATGCGGCACTACCATCCAAATCCCACTACCGTCCGTTTTCCATTTTTTCTAATCTACCCTCTATCCATCGATAATATCGAGCCCTTTCGTTGGCCCTCCTCCGATCTTCCTTAGTGAAATCCTGGAGGGGGTTACCTACTAGGGTGGCAATCAAGGCAATATTCGTCCATACTTCGACCCTTCTAAACTTCCGGGTCTTTTCCAATCCTTCTGACGTGGCATCCAAAAAGCGAGCCTCGGTCGGAATCTTGTTGGTGCGGCACAAGGGGCACAACCACGGTTTACTATCGTTTCTGTATTGGATGCACGAGCCATGGGCTTGTGCAACGCACTGTCGACAATCTATCCAATCGACATACCCTTCTCCGTTAGGACACGTGGAGACCAAGTATACGCGGGAGATGGCTTCGCAAAAATAGCAAAATTTGTCAGGCAGGGAGAGGAGAGACGAAGAGGAAGGGGGGGAGAGAGGGGTAGTGGGTTACCTCCATCACCCATCGCCACCGTTTTGCTTCTTGCCACGTGGGAGGACTGCCACTTGTCCGTACTTAGGCTCGTTGGTCAGGTCCGGATCCTTCCACGGAGTAATTTCCTTGCCCTTTGGTACCTTGACAGGTCGGTGCAGATGTGTCAGCCCGTCCGCGTTGCCATGCCGTTCTGTCTTTCGATGGATGATATCGAAGTCGTATTCTTGTAGTCGCACCGCCCAACGGCCAATCGTGCCAGTGTAGTTGGTGAGTTTCTTCAGCGCTAGCAGAGGCTCGTAATCCGTTACGAGGCGAAACTTCTGTCCGTAGAGATATGGATGGAAGTGTTGGATTCCCCAAACTACCGCATTGCACTCGCCTTGAGGTGCGGAGTCGTTTCTTCGTTCGTCCGGTACGGTTTGAGACGCGTACTCAATGACGTGTTCACGACCATCGTTCCCCTTCTGTGCTAGAATAGCGGAAATAGCTTTCGGTTGCCAGTTCGTGATGAGAATGAACTGCTTCGAGGGGTCCGACCGAATCAAAATAGGGGTCGTTGCCAGAGCGTCTTTGAGGGTTGCAAAGGCCTGCTGGCACTCCGCATCCCAACTGAGAGGTTGGTCCTTCCGTAACAGGTTCGTTAGCAGTCGTGCAATCGCGGCAAAACCCTTGATGAAGCGTCGGTAGTACAACGCCAGTCCCAAAAAGGCTCGAACCTGCGTCAGTGACGTGGGAACCGTGGCTTCCTTCACCGCCGCAACGTTTGTCGAGTCCGGCCGCAATCCTCCACGTGTCACGACATAGCCCAAGAACGAAATTTCCGAGAGGAAAAATTCGCTCTTCTCGAGCGCAATCTTGAACCCAGCGTCTCTTAGTTCACCCAATGTCCATTCAATATGTTGCGAGTGCTCGTGATAGTTTTCCGAATAGACCAGGATATCGTCCATGTATACGATCACGCAGAAGTTAATCATCTCTTGCGTCAGCTGTGTCATGTTGACGAAATTCTGGAACGTCGTGTTCATTGCTCGCTGAAACGTGGCAGGCGCATTGCAAATCCCCATCGGACATCGAACCCACTGCCACGTGCCCTCAAACAACACAAAGGCCATTTTCGGTCGATCTTCTTCCCTTACCAGAATATGATGGAAGTCATGCCGAATATCAAACTTGCTGAAATAATTAGCGCACCCAATCGCATCCAACAGATCATCAATCCGGGGGAGGGGATACACATCTTTGATCGTGATTTCATTCAGCTGGCGATAATCAATGCAAATGCGAATCGCCCCGTTTTTCTTCGGCACTAATACTACCGGAAAGGACCAAGGTCTGGTAGCGAGTTCAATCCAACCACTGGCTTCGAACTCCTGAATTCGTTCGAGAGCCTTTTTGCGTTCAATCAAGAAATAGCGATAAGGTTTGCAGTGAATTGAGGAGTGATTTCCTGTCTGAATTTCATGTTGGATTACTAACGACAACCCGATGTCAGTGTCTGACACACTAATTGCTCCTTGGTATTCCGTTAGAATATCCGCAATTACCCGGTGGATTTCATCCGGCACATATTGTGGAACGTGCAGTTCGAAAAGTTGGTCCCAGATTTGAACGTCAATTTGTTTCGTGTTCGCCTGTTTTGTCGAATCGGGTGGAGGCACCGAGATGAATGAATGATCCGATCGCCAGGAGAACACCGTGGCCATCATCTGAGCATCTTCTTCTCGGATTGCCACGTGTCCTTCCGGGGTAATCCCGTCACAAACATCCTGCCATGGCACTTCCTTAGTTGCGATTTTTATCCCCAGTCTGTCTGTTTCTGCTTCAAAATGCCCAGGGGGTTCCAGAGAGCTTGCTTCCGCCCCCAAGCGTAACAATCTCACTTTTTTGACCGAGGTTAGTAAGGACTTGGGTAGATCCGTAATATCACAGTAATGCTTCTGGTCGCTGTACCGGGCGAGGAGAGGGGCGATCCCTTCATACAGAGTTTGAGGGGGTTCCAAAGAATCGACCATCCTCGAAATCTGCACGAGGGGCTCGCCTAAGATCATCGCCTTGGTCCTGTGAATTTTTCGGCTGGTCAGTTGCATCGTTCTTGCTATCGTTTTGGGAGGCGGGTAGTAAACGCGTTGTCGTACCAATTTCAAGATCTCCGGATCATCTTCGTCACTGCTTTACGCATCATCAGTTGATGGCTTCCCTTCTGCGGGTTCGTCCCAGGAGATCATGCGGAGAGTCCCTGCCATCATCGACGAAACCCACGGAACCGCGTTAATAGTAGTGCGAAGGGTCAATCGCATGAGCACAGTGTATGGTTTTCCTCCTGTATTTCGGAGGACGATCGATCGTCGTTCGAAATCCAGGTTTGCTCGTAACGCCACAAGAGCAGGAAGTCCGAAAAGAACGTCGTACGTATTAACATCTAGTACTACGACATCCCCAAGTGCGTGTACTTTTCCTAATCGGAAGGTGACGTTGGTCATTCTCCCCACAGTTTTAATTTTTTCCTCATCTGCCGAAACGAGCTGATATTTCTCGGTGAGCATGATCAGATCGTTTTTCGTGCCTGCCCTTTCGACCACTCTCAATGAAATAGCCAACACAGTTGCTCCCGAGTCTATAATTGCGTTGTAAGGAATTCCCCAAATTTCTATATCGCACTCTGCGGATTTCCACGGAATGGGTTTAATCCGTAGGAAATGATCGTCTTTCTGAATTAAACCTAACCGTATCGGATCCGGAGTGTTTGTTGGGTCTTCTTCCGGCGCGGGGCCTTTGGCTTTTACGTTCAGTGCTCGGGCGAGGGCGAATCCCTTTCGATTCGCTTTGCAATGCTGTAACATTCGCTCGTTGGCTTGCTCGGAGATCGAGAGTAGGTGACCGATCGGAAGGGGAATCCGATGGTCCAAAGCTCGGATGATGTTTAGTACATCGATCTCCCCTGTGACGAAGGTGGGTTCTCCCGACTCCATTTCTCCTAAGGACGGTCGCCACTCCGCCACCTCTTTTGGTTCTGGCGCTGGTCTGATTGTTCCGATCATTCCTAGCCCAGGATATCCCAGCGATACGTACCGATCTAGCGGAATTAGCTCGGCGGCCTCTTCCGTGGTGGCCAGGGCACTTCCCCCACCCTCTACTTCTTCCATCAAGGCTCCGACTCGTCCAGGTCTGTTGGCGATGGGGGCCGCAGCCATAGGTGCGACTCCGATCCGCTGTTGTGGGGGTCGGTGGGGGTGTTCGGGCTGATGACAAGCGTAGCAAACATTCAGATTGTTTGCAGCTCCTCCGAGGGCAGGGGCAGGGGCTAGTCCTTGTTGCATCGGAGGGGCACGCACCGCAATAGGTCACATGTTCCTCATCATGGCTTCCAGCCGAGCATTGTGCTCTCACTGCTCCTTTTTGCTTTCTTGGATCAAACTAATCAAAGTTTTGGTTAGTTCGAAAATGGTTGCCGATCCGTTTGATCGTACAGGAGCCTCTACCGGCGGCGGGGGTAATGCCCTGACGGGCGGGGGCATCATAGGAAAAGAGATGCTCGGAGTCTCACTTAGGATTACTCGTTTGGGGCCTATCTGTTCCATATAGGTGACAGGTCCCAATACGAACCCCATGTTTTCAAATTTGTTTTGTAAGGCATCCAGCTCTGCTCTTGCTCGAGCGAGCTCGGTCGAATCTCCGTCTCTAGGGTAATCTTCTCCTTCCAGCAAGTTCGTCGCAAACTTCCGTCCCATTTCTTCCGCAGCAGCCATAATTTGTTGTAGCGTATGGGTGATGGGGGAAAATTGCTTTCGTAACTTAGCCCTTATTGTTCGACTGCGGAGTCCGTCAATGAACATGTCTCTCCCTACTTGCTCACCTCGCTCAGTTTTTACTAACATTCTGTAGAACCGGTTTTTATATTCTGCGATGGATTCGAGCGGTTTTTGTACCCGATCCTTGATCATGTACAACGCTTGCTCAGGGTGGACATAATCGAATCGGTTCAGAAAGTCTCGCTCGAAGGTCGGGAGATCCACCCATACATAGCTACTATACCAATGATGAGAGTCTCCTCCCATTCGAGCCGGAATGTTGATCTGTGCTTCGTGATCATCGTACTGTTGTGCTCTAAGCGTGGCCAGCCATGCTCCTGCGAGATGGTGCGCCGGATCAAACAGATAGAGATCTGGTGGTGACATGGGAGCTCGTGCATGGGGGGCAGGTTGATTAGGTGGATTAGCATTTTGTTGCGGAACTAGATTTTGCACGTTGGCAGCCATATTGGCTGCTCGTCGGTTAGCCGATCTACTTCTGGTGACGATAGGGTCGCGTCTATGCCCGTTCCGAGGGCGAGGTCGCCCACGGTTAGCCAGGTCGCCTAATTAACGTGCTATCAATCCTAAGGCCCTAGCCACGTGTCGGGCTCCGATACTGACCTCACGCCCAGCGCGACTTCCTGATCGGAGTGGGATGTGGGCCTGGAAGTGCGAAAAGGGATGTGCCAAGGATTTTTGGGGAAAGTGGGGGAGTCTTAAGGGTATGAATGCAATTAGGCGGGTGTGCGCAAGGGACTCACGGTCCGATGGGGCCGGGGCACTATGGGCGACGGGTTACGGGAAAATTCCTCCGTGGTGGAGATGGTCCTGAAAAGTTAGGCCGTCGCGGGCCGCCACGTGGCGCAGGCCGCCGCGTGCCTGGGTTGGGCCTTCGGAATTCCGGGGCTCTTTGTGCGCCGCTGCGTCGGCCGTTTACACAAAACGTGTTGGGCCAATAGGGGGCTATGGCCGGCCACGGAACGACACTGAGCTGATGATACGGGAGAAGGAGGCGGAAAGGAGGGAAACTGGTGGTGATCTCAACGAATCTCGGGTGGGTGAAGTAGTAGGTGTGGTCGGGGGAAGGGAAATCGGAGCACCGAGGGTCGCTAGTGGTGGCACAGTGGAATTCCCGCGGACATAGCCGATTCTCCGTGTGACAAGGGTATCAGATCCTTATGAGCTCGTTTACTATAGGGGTGAAATAGTCCGGGTCATAGGACGAGTCTGAGCCCCAAGATCGCGTYATGGTATCATTGCCGATGGGATAGTGAGCGAGTCGACGCSYGRGAATGCGTGCAAAGGCGCGACTCGGATCGYGTTTACAMGTGTTCTCGTGCGGCGCTCGCGGGGCCKGACTTCGCGCCTAATTGCTTCGTAAGTCTCGGTTATGCAAGATGCAATCATACCACATCCTCATCAGGGGACAAGCAAAAACGAAATCTACATCGGGGCCAGACTCTTATCCCATCTATYGCTGCACYTGGTGCAAGCAAAGATTYGGCACAAACAAAAAGCAAGGCAGGGATTTTCCGCAAAGAGATAGGCAAGCAGRCATAACATTCATGCATCCATACATTCGACAATCATACACATAATGCAAGCAAAAGCGGACATCGCGAAGACAAATGTGAGCAATAATCCAAGCCTAGATTTCAGAAAGCCGAAACGAAAATAAGAACGGGCAAACCGCCCGRAGCCGTAATCAAAATGTATGTACACAGGTGAAGAGGGGGAAGAGACAAAGAAACCGCAAATCCACGTCCATCATCCTCAACTCTCTCTTCCTCTCTCTCTCTCTCTCCGATGCGGACAGTTCGTCGTCACGCACCATCCCACGAAGTTGTCACCCCGCTTAGTCCTCCCGCACCCGTCGGATTCGCCCGTGCCCACAGTCTGTCGAGGCCCACGTCAATCCCGCGCGCTCGGCACCAGCCCGTCGGGTCGCCCAACTCCTACTCTACTCACCTCTTACTTCGCTCGTGTGCCGACCCTTCCTGATCACACAACCCCGAGCTTCCAATAACGGGTTAAGAGAGCTCACTACTCGCGCAGCCAAAATTTATAGCGTGCATGCATGCGCGAAGAACGCGGAATTACTAGGACTAAGAGTGGGGGTTAGAGAAAGGACGCCTACGTTCTGCATGATCGGCCGCGGCGTGGGGGACGTAACCCTTCTCCACGCATCGATCCGAGCATGCAGGCCGCGGCTTACAAAATTCCAGCAAAAGAAAGCAAGGGAGGGCGGGAGAGACGAAGTGCAAGAAGAGAGATACAGTTACCATGGCGCCTGCCCAAAATTACAGTTACACATACGATTAAGGGCGCCCACTAATCAAAGTACCGTTGTAACCGCATGAAGAAGCGCGAAAACAAAAGGCGCCGCGCGGCAGGAAAAATCCTAATTACTGAATTCCTAAATTCCTATATAATGCGAAAAAGCAAAAAGCACGAATTCCAGAAGGAAAGTCCAAAAACTCCGAGAGCCATCGGGGGGGGCTCGACAAAATTCGAAAAAGACTCAAAGGAAAGATTCAAAAGATTGAAGCAATTTTCCGCGCGATGTCTGCGTCCAAAAGATAGAAACCGAAACGAAAGAAACGACGTCAACATTTATTAATCGTGCACGCGGTGGCGCGCCAGACATCCATCCGACCAATCACTCAACCGGCCGTCCCAAGACACACCCAGCTCCGTACCCAGTCATCCGACAAGAAGCGAGGAAAAAGACGAAAAAGCAAGGGTACTGATGCAACTTTCCATGGATCCCGATTTCTCGTAATTGGCCCAATCTTCCTAGTTTAGGACCCCTCGTGGCAATCGCGCAGGAAGTCGCGCGTTACAGAAAGTGGGTCGTCAAAGGGCATTAAACTTGGATGATGAGTGAGGCGACATATAAATGACAACGCGGTGTTCTCTGATACTTCTGATTCTTTTCTTCTTCTGACTCTCTCTTCAACATGGGGATCATGGTGCGTGGTGGTCCTGTCTTTGGGCTTGACCAATGATGGGCCTCGCTGCACTACTCTAGACTCTCGAAGTTTCGAGAGTGGATCGTCGCTGCACTTACTTTCGATCGGGAAACTCTCGAAACCCGATCGAGAGCTGTCAGAAGGCACGCTATAAAGCCACTCTCGAAATGTCGAGAGTCGCCCGCCTGCAAAATACGAATTTGCAAGTGTGCTCGCGAGTTGCCCGCCGACCGGCTCATTTTTCGAGAGTGGACCTGCTGTCGCGGCGGCCAGACCAGCCTGGCGTTGTCCCGTAGCGTAGTGGTACAACTCTTCTGTCGAGTCCGACGACACCCAGGGTTTCGAGAGTGCATCTAGTGTAACAGGTTCTAGAGTAAGTGCAACGACGACGGGTATTTCGAGAGTCTCACCTCTCTGACAATGCTAGTCGAACTCTCAAAATATTTCGAGATTCTAGAATAGTGCAGCGAAGCCCGATGTCTCGCCCTTTTTTCACAGGGCCACAAACTTTTGTGAGGGATGCCAGGCCCGATTCCCGGTTAAAAAACAAAAAAAAAGAGTGGTGTGGGGAGGCTCAAAGACAATTTTATGCATCCCTACATGCTCCTGCAAACTTGGTTGATTGCACCCAAGAAATGGTCTTGTAGCCCAAGGCGATGTTTTAAAAGAAAAAAAAAAAAAAGATGGTCCTGACTCCAAAAAAAAAAAAATCCAAAAGGACGCCAACGGTCGTTGAACTGGCTGTCTCCAAAAAAGGAGACAGCTAGGTCAACGGAAACTTGCGAGGGTAAGGGGCTTTACATTCGAGAAAACGTCATTTTTTTATGTATTTTGTCGGAAGAAAAAACGCGATAAAATTTATTCACAATTAAAAAAAGAGCGGACCGCTGGATGATCGCGAGGGCGTGCATCTCCTTCGTCGCCTACAGTCACATGGCGGCGAAACTGGGATAGTCCTCTGGATACTCTTTTTTTTTTTTTTTTTTTTTTTTTGCTGGAAACCGGGTCGAGCGTCCCTTAAATAACACATTGACATACAGTACATCATTTGAAGCGATGCCATTGCTGGAAACCGGGTCCAGCGTCCCATAACAGTAAATTCAACTAACCTACCCCGCAGCCGGGCCGGGTAATGGGGGGGAGGCACTGGGGGGCACCAGTGTAATCTCCCTCCCATCCCTAGCCCCTGCCAATCGTCTAGCCTCCGGGCGTCTGTTGTATCCAAAACAACGTATCTAGCTGTTGAACCTCTACTGAAGGCAGAGGAAAAACAGCAGAAAGCAGAAAAAAGCAGAAGACAGAAAACAAGAGATAATCCTACTATTGTATCTAGAGCAATGTATCTGTCTGTTGAACCTCTACTGAAGGCAGAAGAACCAGAGCTGATCCTGATGATCCTTTTTTTGGCCCCATGTGCAAGCCTCCATCCCGGTGGTGGTAGGAGATCCACCAAGATCGAGGCTTTGCCTAGCGGGCCGCTCCATCTATTGGTGGGGAGCATCACCTGCTGGAAACCGGGTCCAGCGTCCCATGATAGCTTAATGAAGGAGAGGCACCCGTGTGCTGGAAACCGGATGCAGCGTCGCAATCCACATTATCACTCCCTTACCTAGCCCTTACCTATCCCACCTATCCTGCAGCTGGGATCTCCCTCCATCCCTTAATCCCTGCCATCCACCCACTATATCTAGGAATCAGAGAATGTATCTAGAAATGTATGCATCCAGAATGTATCTGCTGGAAACCGGGTCCAGCGTCCCTTGATAGCACATTACCCCACCCTTCTCAAATCCGTTACTTGCACTCCTTGCAGGTGCTCCGATTGCAGACCAGAGCAACAGCAACAGGAGGTTCTGAACCCAGCAAACATCTAAC